GTACAGCAGGATGGAGGATGGTCACAGGAGTGGAAGAGAGTCAGTATCTTAGCACATTCTTTCTTATGCATCGTCTTCCTTTCCTTTCCTTTCTTGCTGTTTTTGTTTACTGCTTCAGCTTACTAAAGAACACATATCTTCTGATGTGATCGCTGCAACAATACTTACAGGAGTTTTATAAAATATAATATACCACATGTAAGTGGTATGCCCTCCCCATTCTAAAAGGACACTCCTATGTATGTGCAGATCTATGCAGGTTTAACAGGTCATCCTCGAAGTGTGCGCTCAAAAGAAAATTGCATTAAGATCACATTGTCTTGCATTGCATCTCTCACATTGCATTGTTTATGTGTATTTAATTATTGTGCTTTTTTGGATTAGGTACAGAGAGGTTACTGTTTTTATTTTTGTGCTGTTGGTATGTTTTTATGTATTGTTAGACACCCAGAGTCACTATTTTGAGATGGGTAGCCATATATTTAAATAAATGAATATAATCACTGGAGATACTTGCAGGCAAATGGAATGCAGCCTTAATCCAGAAAATCATTGATTATCGCCAATCTGATAAATGCACCCACCTTTCTTTAAGTGGGCAATTTTTCTAATAGGGACTGTATTTGTCTTGAGTAGTTTCCATTGTCCATAAATGCATTAATATTGCATTAATTTGAATTAGGTAGCTGCTGTTCTACTGGAGAGCAGAAATACACGTAGTCAGTCTTGAGATCTTTACAGATAGCTTTCTCCATAGTGAGGCAACGTAAGCCCATAACAAAGCATCTTGCGCTGATGCTGTGTGTTGACGCACAAGCACAGTCCCACCTGCCAGAACACTGTTTCTCTAATGCAGATGGAATTAGGAGGGCACAGTTCATCTTTTCTCCCTGGAAGCAAAATGGATTTGCTCTTCCCCCACCTCACTCCTTTGAGCACCACAGCAAATGTACAATGCAGGAACATCACTGTAATCAAGATGAAAGGAAGCAAACCCCCTATAATATAACTCAATAGTCAATATACTGTATCTGTTTTAGACTGATTACAGGGTTCTGTTGTTGGTACCAATCTCAGGGGTCTATTAATTTGAAGGAAGAGTGATATCAAAATATCAGTTGTCATGCAAGAACAGGAGGAGAAGATTCCTCAGAGCTCTTTCTCCAATTCTCCAAAGGTGGCTTGGCTTAATATTGTATACCTGGCAATTGGCAAAAAATGACTGGCAAGATTGAGCAAGATACCTGCATCTTAATTTCCTTAATAAATGTAGAGAAATCACAGT